TCCGCCAAAATCTCCGGCGTCTGACGTCAGTTACAACATGAGTCGCTTACCCTGTCCGTCACTTCCGTCACTTACCCAGGAAAGGTTCCTTGGGAGAATGCCAAGCAGCTTTATCTCTGCCGAAGCTCGGCCACGGCACAACTCGAGAGGGACCCAGACAAAGAGTATCACATCCAAAGACGTGACCTAGGTTTCAGCTCTGCTGAAACTCAACAACCGTCACTCGTTAGTTTGATGCTGCAGAATGAACATTGCTCCACATTTCAATACAATTTAATCGTACTGTTGAAGGCAAATGATCAACTTTTGTTTCGCCCGATGATCAGCGTTGCATCGTCTAATCGTGAGTCCTGTTTTGTTTGTGTGATTCGCAGAGGTGTATGGGATCAAGCTTCAAACACCATGGATATGGACACGCAGCCACAAGGACAGCAAGCAGCTGTGCCAGTGTTTCAACCCCAGGTACCCCCACACACAGATGCACACTGCAACGCAAGTCAGAAGGACTTAGGATCTGAGGGGGAGGTAGGATGCAGACTAAGATAAAAATGGAATTACTCAGCCTCGGCATCCCATGGTCAGCATCTGTCTTAGCCATTATTTAACAGATGTGTTGCAAAATTAAGGATAATTGGGTTGCACACAGAAGAAAGTCAGATAAAAGCTCTAATAATTATTTGACTTAGGCAACAGTCCCCCCCACGCATACACACACATACAGTAGATCTCCAGCTGATCTCCCAGCAGTTCGTTACGCGTTGTTGTCCAGTCTTAATGATCTCTTTCTCTCTCGCTCTGTGTTGGTCCATCTATTTCTAGCAGTTTACATCAGTGTTAATTCTAGGCTCACCTCTTTCACTTAGGTACTCGGGAGCACGGTGAACTTTCCATATTGCATAATTTTTTCAGTCTCACAGAACATGTTTGAACCGATTCCACATTCAGCGGAAGATGGAGATGGAGTCAGATTATGCAGATGACTGTTGGGTCTGTGTTTCCACAAGCCCCACTAATTCTAGAGACTTATTCATCATGAAGAAAACAAGACAGTCGATCGATCAATTATTTGCGCAAGGGAGGCCTCGTCTGTGTCCACCACGAAAATGACCCCCAGATCTGACCTCCTCCTGCTACCTTTTATTGAGAGACAGTTCACACAAAACACGTCAGAACAAAGCCACGCCCCCTTGGTTCTAAGACAAAGCATTTTATGTATATGTGGGAACTTCTGTAAGAGTGTGTGTGTGTGTGTGTGTGTGTGTGTGTGTGTCAGACCTCCTGCTGACCAAAGGGTCGTAAACCCAGGAAGCTTACATCAAGAGAAACAGATCTTTCAGATAGGCTGTATCTACAATAAAACATCCCACAGCACAGAGTGGTTGGAGAGGCGGTCAGGATCAAACGAATGGCTTTGATCCTACTGCTTGAACTAAGACTGTACAAATTTAATAAACACAATGGCAACATTCAACAATTAGACTTAACAATGACTGTCTAACCAGCATCCAGATGGGTGTCTTTCAACAAGTCCTGTATCCGTTTCACAGTTTTCCTAAGGTTCAGTCTACTCGGCAGCAAAGGGAGAAAAAAAACCCTACTAGCCTCTTTCTGGAGAAATCTGAATTGTATATGTGATGAAGGATATTCTGTATCACTTCCAATATAATTTCTCTTGGTCCCGGAGGTATGATGCATATGCGTTAGTTAAACGAGATGACCTGGTAAGATGTGCATTTTTAATGGTGCATTTGCTCTTGAGTGAGTGGGAGGGTTAGTGGGGACAGATAATTGGGGCTGATAATTTAGTTATTTTAATATATGCACTTTTTATTTTTTTATCGCTGTTTATAAATATTATGTTAAAAAGATGAAGAGTTTTGGTTTTATAATTGTGAACTGGTCTTGTTCTACTTTTTCACTGGTGTCCGCTTCGTAGGTCATTGTCTTTTTCTTCCTTTTTTGCCTTTGATTTTTCTGGTGTTAACTGTTAAGTCTCCACATCCACAACAAATAGACGTGCACCCACTGATTATTAACTCTGGAGTCTATTGTTGAAAACCTCTGCTGTCTAAAAAGCTGTTCACTGCAGGATAGCATGCCAGAGCAGAGTGACGAGCTTTCAACTTTAGCCTTCCTCGTATGTCTGTGCCCCAAGTTTCTCTTTCCCGGCGTCTGCGTGCCTCTCAGTCTCTCTCCATGTGAGACATCACCTCTCTGCTGCCGCTGGCCTTTCTGTGGCAGCCGTCAGCACTGCTGGGCTGTCACGTCAGCCCTCTCTTCTCTGCTGCTTGTCCCCCACTGCCCCCCACCCTATCTTTATCCCGTCTTCCCGTTCCCTCTTCCACTCTCCATGTGTCTTGTCAGTTGTGTTTGGCAACGGTGTCATTATCGGGCAGCCCATATCACACCTCCTCCAATGAGCTGTCTGTCTGCTCCCCGTCTGTCTCTCGCTCTACTTTCCTCTCTCCTTTTCAGTCCCCTGCTAGCTCGTGGTGGCTGTGTGTCACCTTTATATCCGAGACATTCTGTCCCAAACGTTACCAATAATGCCTTGCACAGCTGCCACTTTATCTTCATGTCCTGCAGCTTGTCCTCAAGCTGGAATAATGTGAATGATGTGAGCGTGTTGTGAGTGTTGACCAGCATGTTTTATTTTATTTTATTTTTTTAGACAACAACACTGATGTTGCTGATTATCAGTAATTGGAGACACTAAAAGACAATATTTGGAAACGTTTACAGTTAGAAATTTTTGGGCCAAAATTTAGAAGAGCTCAAAACTTAGTTTCAGTTATTTAAATAACAACAATAGCTGAGACATTAAAAGTCAGGCTGCTTTTTATTGATAACTACTGTAGTAATATATGAACTAATTGCAAGTAAACCTTAGGCTAAAAATAGCCTATTTATGATTACACTGCTGTCTCTGGTTACATTGTAGTCACTGTGGACCCACATGATGATGAGGATGATGATGATGATGATGTGCAATAGCACTAAATAAAAAAAAACCCAGTTCTTTAAGTTTTTACATGGATCTGAAGTTGTTTTGACTAGTTAATTTTCTTCTTTGTAAAACACCTTACCTGTCTCTCCTGTGCACACCTTCCCCTTTGCTCTTCATCGACTGAAGCACCGGGTAGGAGACGTGATAAAGGAGCCTTTTCCCAAATGTGGTGACATTATGCTCTGTTTTTGTTTTTAACATCCATCCTAAAGTGAGAAATATCCTCTTTCTGTTTCCTCTCAACTGATGATGACTGTGAGCGATTGGTGTAGCCGCGTGACGCACAAACGAAGTTCAAAGTCCAGCCGTGAGCCTCTGTGCACGCCCATGTGTGTTCACATGTGTCGCTGTTACAGGTGTTTGTTGTATATGGAGGTACAACATCAAGCTATGGCTTTGCACATTTAATTAATAATGTATCTCAGCATAATGACAATATTATTTCAGTGCATCATTGGGGGAATGATGCCGTGATCACCAAGCTGTCTCCATCCCTGACATCGTCGTCCGTCAGCACAACCCCGATACACACTACCCAAAACAAACACACATTCAATGACCTCCTTTATCTGCACAGACCCATGTCTATACAACAGTGTGGGAAAAGTGTTTGACACTTTGGGCACCGGAAAGCTCCCGCCATCGAAATGTTTCTGTCGTACCGTGGCACTACGGAGAAGTGGAGCGTAAAGAAGACATTCAGAGTTCTGCAGAAAGAGTTGCATTTGTGGGACTCATGTAATGGGTGGGCACAGATGGAAGTATGGTAATAGATATTGCCCCCCCCCTCTCCATAATTTCATGCATTCTTATCATTGTTATGTTATGTGTTCAGTTCTTTATTACTATTTCTGACACATACTGTGATAACTGGCAATCCAGCTAGGATATTCTGATCAATGATGATTCCCACGGGTAGTAGTAGTAGTAGTATTTATTTATTGTCATTGTCAAGAACAATGAAATTGCGGGTGGCGCTCACGCAGGCACTGAATCGGGCAGCTTTGGGGTTCTGTGTGTTCTACTGCACAGATAGCCTGCAGAGTGCAGCTACGCTTAACTGAAGTGCTTGTGTTTTGTATTTGCAGTTGCAAATGAGCAAGTAAAGAGAACGATTTTGAACTCATGCACGCCTGGAAGTATCATTTGTCGAAGTGTGCAAGACATTAACTGTTGAGGTCACAGGCTGTAGATTCATTATGTGACTGTAACAGCTCATTATCTCACACAGGACTGGCGATCGCTAACGTCCAACATTCCTGTAATAGTGGATCAGTGCTGACAGGTAGTGTGGTCTGTACTACAGTACAGAGCCCGGGCTGTCAGGTGCATGCAACATTCAGGACAGGTTTGGACCGTGATGGTCAGTCTGTGACTCTTATGATCCCATTTTGCACCAATAAAAATAAAATAGTAACAGACTTAGAAGTTTGTCTTATTAATTTAAAAAAGATGTTGGGGACAAAAAGATAACATTGTAGCTATCACACTATTTGTTATTGTAATATTAAACGTATTGAAAAGTGTTTAAAATTGCAGTAATGGGTGCTGCTTTACCTCAGTGGTTGAGGAGGCGACCACAAGCCATAGAGCCAAATGCATCGTCATCCACGACTCCCAGCTATTCGGTCTCCTCTTCAACATAACTGTCAAAAAAAGGATTCCCACCTTTACTTTCACTGCAGTCATGTGACCTGCAACCTTTCACAGAGTGTGTGGGTCAGACATTGATCGAGAGCAGTGACTGCAGATGGAAAGAGGCAGTTGCATCAGAGCCATTTTTAATTTATTTCATCAGAAGTATTTTAAATAAGAGCGGAAGCTACTGAATCACAACTTCAACACATAGCCAGGCTGTCAGTGTGACTGCTACACTTCATGATACAAAACATATATAGGAGAGAAACCTGTAAGTATATATTTTGAATGAGATGGTAACAGTATGCATTGATATGTGAACTATTATTGATATAGTTCTCTGTATGGGTAAGATGACACTGCCTCCACATGCAAAAACATTTTAGGATAATGGTATTTTTCAGGGGGAAAAAAGGAAAACTGAGTGTTTTATTTCTTTTTTGCTCTTCATGTGGGTCCAAGCTGGAAAAGCACAATTTGGATTGTGATACAAACAGGGAAACACATGTGTATTTTATTTAAATTTAGGATGTACCATGTGTGTATAAACAACAGTAGGATAAAGTGGTTGCATAACCATCAACAAATTTTCACGTCGACTGTCAGAGGTGGGTCATATGGGTTCAAAATTAAATCACAATAATCGTATTTTTGACCACATGCAAGGAAAATGCTGAACATTTTATTAATGCTTGCAGCTTGTAAGCAGCATTTATAAGTGCATGTAAATCCATGACACACTTCCTAATTCAAAGAGTGCCTGTATGGAAATTATAGTACAGTAGTACTGAGACAGCATTTTATCCAGCGGCACACA